GTCTCCATTGTTGTGATTCTAGGTTACAATAGGTCTCCGGTACCTCATGTTGGTCTCCATTGTTGTAATTCTAGGTTACAATTGGTCTCCGGTACCTCATGTTGGTCTCCATTGTTGTGATTCTAGGTTACAATAGGTCTCCGGTACCTCATGTTGGTCTCCATGTTGGGGGCGAACTGGCTAAAGTGCCAGGCTAGTGATCCAGCGAGATTGAGGTGACGGGATCGAGCCCACCTGTGACCGGGTGTAAAAACCTTGGAGTCAACTTTGTGTGCAGACTCTTTCAGTGTTGTCACAACCCCTAGTGTACAGTACACAACCCTGTGCACTTAAAAGAACCCACGAATCTGTTGGTATATGACCAGATGGTGGCCACATGAATACGTGCAAACCCCCAGTTGTGGGAACAGCAACGTGCAGTGAACTTGGACAAAGTACTGTGACTATGTGTCCCAGTCCACCCAGCTGTGAATGGGTACCTCGTAAGGATGGGTATGCCACAATAACTCGGTGAGCCTAGTTGCTGCAAGAGTTGTATGCTCCCAAGGGAGTTGAGATTGACAATACGATGTGCCGTTGAGATTGAAATCCAGTGAACGAGGGGAATACAAAGCAAGCGCAAAGAGTCCTTTCGGAGATTTGCGCTATATAAATGCTATCCATTATTATTATTATTATTATTGTTGTGAATCTAGGTTACAATAGGTCTCCGGTACCTCATGCTGGTCTCCATTGTTGTGATTCTAGGTTACAATAGGTCTCCGGTACCTCATGTTGGTCTCCCTTGTGATTCTATGTTACAATAGGTCTCCGGTACCTCATGCTGGTCTCCCTTGTGATTCTATGTTACAATAGGTCTCCGGTACCTCATGCTGGTCTCCATTGTTGTGATTCTAGGTTACAATAGGTCTCCGGTACCTCATGCTGGTCTCCCTTGTGATTCTATGTTACAATAGGTCTCCGGTACCTCATGCTGGTCTCCATTGTTGTGATTCTAGGTTACAATAGGTCTCCTGTACCTCATGCTGGTCTCCATTTTTGTGATTCTAGGTTACAATAGGTCTCCGGTACCTCATGCTGGTCTCCATTTTTGTGATTCTAGGTTACAATAGGTCTCCGGTACCTCATGTTGGTCTCCATTGTTGTGATTCTAGGTTACAATAGGTCTCCGGTACCTCATGTTGGTCTCCATTTTTGTGATTCTATGTTACAATTGGTATCCAGTACCTCATGCTGGTCTCCATTTTTGTGATTCTAGGTTACAATTGGTCTCTGGTACCTCATGCTGGTCTCCATTTTTGTGATTCTAGGTTACAATTGGTCTCTGGTACCTCATGCTGGTCTCCATTGTTGTGATTCTAGGTTACAATAGGTCTCCTGTACCTCATGCTGGTCTCCATTGTTGTGATTCTAGGTTACAATAGGTCTACGGTACCTCATGTTGGTCTTCATGTTTGTGATTCTAGGTTACAATAGGTCTCTGGTACCTCATGCTGGTCTCCATTTTTGTGATTCTATGTTACAATTGGTATCCGGTACCTCATGCTGGTCTCCATTTTTGTGATTCTAGGTTACAATAGGTCTCCGGTACCTCATGTTGGTCTCCATTGTTGTGATTCTAGGTTACAATAGGTCTCCGGTACCTCATGCTGGTCTCCATTGTTGTGATTCTAGGTTACAATAGGTCTCCGGTACCTCATGCTGGTCTCCATTGTTGTGATTCTAGGTTACAATAGGTCTCTGGTACCTCATGTTGGTCTCCATTTTTGTGATTCTAGGATACAATAGGTCTCCGGTACCTCATGCTGGTCTCCATTGTTGTGATTCTAGGTTACAATAGGGTACCTCATGCTGGTCTCCGGTACCTCATGCTGATCTCCATTGTTGTGATTCTAGGTTACAATAGGTCTCCGGTACCTCATGCTGGTTCACCCTATTGAATAATTCTTGGTCTCATTGGGATTCTGGGATATGATTGGTTCCTAATACCCATGGTTGTCCCTCCATTGGGATTGGAGCCACACTGATTCGGGAGAAAATATCAAACCTTCAAATCGGGTAATTACTTGGTGAATGAAGCTACTGTATTTTCACTAATATCCTCATTGGCATTAAGTCTCACACACACACACACACACACACACACACACCGGCTTCCCCACTGTTTCCGGAACATAACTTAAAACTACTTGAACAATCTCCACCAAATTGGTATACTGCCTCTCCATATTATGTAGATGTGCCTTTTAGGGGTTTGAGTCTTTTTTCAATTTCATTTTGTTCTGTTTCAATGGCAACAATTTTGGACTTGGTCTTTTTGAAAGTAGAAATTAAAGGAATCAAATGAATTGTTTGAGGTCTCAACGTTGAATTAGGGGAAGGGGAAGACATCTGTTTTTACGAGTGAAAACACTTTCTAGTTATTTCTTGGGATAAGTTCCAAACTTGTTAATATAGATCCCGCCCTTAATACTAGTACTTCAATTACGGTGTTGCATAAACTATTACAGTGTTGCATAAATGCAACCACTAATAAATTGATATAACAACAAACTTATAACATGACAAAATACAATTTTTATTTTCTAATACAGAATTTTGTCAAAATAGTCAACGTGAACATAGACCTGAAATTGCATCAATAAGTGCTTAAACGGGAACCCTTCTTCTCTGAGGTTTCATATATTCCGGATCCTATTAGAATGTACACATCTTTCAACCACGCGCCTACCAGGTGAAATACGGTAATCTTTGCCAATAAAGGTCTCTTTGTGTCTCAGACAGATTTTGATGCCCGTCACAACTATAAGTGTATTGTAAGCGTATTGGTGTAATTTTAAGTATACACAACTTATAGAACAGACCTGCAACTTACAGAACAGGGCCTGGTTGTTCAAAACTCGGTTATCTTTTAACCAGCCGTTAAGTACATTTAACCGACCGTTAACTAATAACAGAGGGTTATCTTGTTGTTCATAACTCTGTTAACTTTAAACAGGTTAACGTGACGTAAAGTTAACACACCTAAGGACCGCCGCTAACTTTTTTAACAGTGTGGTTAGGTGAGGTGAGGTGAAATTGGGTTTTACGTCGTGCTTGAGAATATTTCGCTCATATGACGACGTGCATGCGGGTGTATGTGTATGTGCGGCTGCTTGTACTAGCCCAGACTTAAGCTGGTTTTATAGTGCTAGCCCATGGAGATACCATGCCGCAGTGAAGCATGAATACCCCACTCAGACACATTATACTGACTCCGAGCCGACCAGTCCTTGTTGTACCCATTAATGCCGAGCGCCAGGCAGGGACCAACAAGTACCATATTTTTACGTCTTTTGGTATGACGCGGTCGGGGATCGAACCCGCGACCTTCCGCTTTCCGGAGGCGGTCTAACCGACCTTACCTTCTTCAACACCATCAAATTGGGCCAAGAACAACCAATCATCTGCATGGAGGGCTGGCACTGCAAACTGAAGAAGCTTGGTCCGGGCCATCCAAACATATTTAAGTTCCTTGACTTGATCAAGAATGAACAAGAAGACAATGAACTCACCATCAGACATCTCGAATCTGGGGGCAGACTTGCCCCCCAAGAGAAGAAAGTACCGCCGCCTTGATGAGAGAATCATAGAAGAGAAGAACTTGCTGATCACTGGTGTCAAGACACCCATCGAATACTTCAACACTGTGATGAATTTTGTTGGACTGTAAATTGTCATACTGTAGGTTTGTTTAGTGCTATGAGTACTATCAAACTGTATATAAATATTTATACTATGTATTGGATTTTGTTGGACTGTAAGTTGTTTTACTGTATGTTTAGTGCTATGAGTATCACCTTACTATCAAACTGTATATAAATATTTATACTATTTAATGTCTTACCAAGTGTTACCTTGTTTCTTGCTACAGACTATACCTTAATCCCCCCTTTGTTAACTAATTGGTCATGGCCTGGTGGACCCAGACTCTAAACAATAGATGTAGGGAATGTGAGGTGTCCCCGTCGTATATATCGCGAACCAAGTAAGTACTAAATATTTCACGATAATCACACTTGTATATCGCCGGTGCATTGTGTACTGACCGTGAGCTAGCCCGTGCCATTAGTGGCATTAAATCTTAACAAACTTACATTATGGTACTTGCAACCCCGATCAATTATCCCTTGTTGTTAATAATAGCCATAATTCCCATGATCACGGACACAACATTGTCTCTTCGTTTGTCCATTAATATTGGTATGTTCACATCTCTCCTTGGATGTTTATTTAAAACAACATCTATACTGTCTGGTGTTCCGGCCGTTTGTGTGCGGAAGACCGCGGGCCGGATGTTGGGCTCTTAGGAAACGCCCTGTGGCTGAGCTGGATCTCAGCTCATTGTTTTCTTTCTATTTATTGGGTAGTTGTTGTTCATATGTTATTTTATAAACGTTCCCGGGAGAGTGATGCCCGTGCTGTCCTTGAATTCCCTTGGAGCTAATTCTCCCGTGAACATACACGTTGACAGTATGTAGAATGCAGACCAACAGAGTCCGGATGTTTCATCCCCACCTGCCTGGACCATCAACAGAATATTTAATGATGGGAAATGCTCTATTTAATGTTTAATTAGAATCCGATCGGCGTGCTATAACCTTTTGGTGTTCATAATACTCTCTCAATGGGTGAGGTGAGGTGTAATGTCGCGTTTATCCTGAACTAACTTACTTACAAAGCAAGTGTGTGTGTGAGTGCGTGCGTGCCAGCGTGCGCGTGTGTGTTAGAGAGAGAGAGAGAGAGAGCGAGACAGACAGAGAGTCTGTGTTTGTATTGTAAGACTCAGCAGATTAACAATATTTTATCTTGAATATGCAGAAGCAAAAGCAGATTACATTTTGCAAGCAGGGAAGGACGTGGGGAGAAGCCAGAATTCATCAGTACTTTATGGATGATGGAAGGTGACAAAAATAACAGGTACATTCTTTACAAATCAGAAAATTTAAGTCTACTAGACATTCCTGCGGGACTGGCCATTTATTACAAAGGGTAGTGCGTGCGTGGCGTTATAGCCTATACTGACTCTGAGCTGAACAGTCTGTTTTATCCCACCAATGCCCAAAAGACAGAAGTCTCTTCTACCAAGGATCAAACCCCTGATCTCCTGTCCATCTAGCAGGCACTCTATCCACTTGACCACGAAGGGATCTCCAGGCGCGTAGCAAGACAATATTTTCGTGTAAGCCCGCGATCGGTTGCAAAGCTTCATATTTAGACAGTATTGAGGGCTTGCCCAACTTTAGAGTGATCTTTAGCAAAATTCATGTGTAAGCCCGGGCTTTTTATATAATGGTAGCTACGCCTCTGATCTCTTTCAATGGCTATTTCGAACGGAAATCTTTCATGCCCACACTTTCTTTGACAGGAATGACTTTGTTTGAACTGTCGCAGGATACGGTGCAGCTGGCCAACCTCTGAGCTTTCTCCTCTTCAAGAGCACGAGCGTCAATGACCTTTGAGTAGCTGTAGAACAGGATGAAGGTGTTAACAAAGATGGGAACAGTCACCGCTAATAGCAGCACCCCCGCTAATCGCACATCCTGCGGCAATCAGTTTGCCACCAAATGTTTTCGGGACGACGTCTCCATAGCCAACTGTTGTCATGGTGATCAGTGCCCACCAACATGCATCAGGGATACTTCTCATTTGCTTATGTTCTTCTGCGTAAAACATGACGCTACCGAAGAGCAGAACAGCCGTTGCAAGGAAGGCTAAAAGTAAAAGTAGTTCCCTGGCGCTGGATTTGAAGGAGTATATTAGTACACGGAAACCTGTGACGTTTCTAACAAGGCGGAGGAATCTGAATATGCGCATGAACTGCACGCATTCTATGATGTCAACAGAGTGGGTTGTGAAACGTTTTGCTGGGATGAATAGTTCCAGTCCAAGGCTGATGAATAACGCCACCAGAGCGAGGAATTCAAAAATGTTGACGGCGTTTGTGACGTACAGCCTTAGACTCGGACAAAACAGAAGTCTAAAGAAGAATTCGAGCGTGAAAAAAATTACGCAAGCGTACTCAATGTATTTTAAGAAGTCAACTCGCGCATGCGCCTGGGCTAGTTTGCTGTTCGTTAACTTTTGCATGGAGTCTTTGGGTGTGGGTGACGATTGTGTAGTGCTTGGATCGGTAGTTGACATGTCGTAATCGGCGTCGGCGTCATCATCATCATCATCATCATCATCATCATCATCATAATTGTAATAGTCTTCGATGAAATGGAACATCTTTAGGGCTGGCAGTTGTGATTGAAATTCATCCCCAAGATATTCCTTCCATTCTTGTTTTCTTAGGTTCCTTTGGAACAGAGGAAGGGTTCCGGCTACGATGACGAACAGCGACGCCATGACAAACAGCACAACAATCGCCATGAAGACCTGAAACAAATATTGTGGAAAAGTTGATGAGTGTTTGATGAATGAGTAGATCGATGTTCATGATGCCCATCACTGGAGTGTCTGGACCAGATTCGATTATTTACAGATTTTATTGCTGGAATATGCTGAGTGCAGTGTTAAACAACAAACAATGTTCAGTTGTCACGAACATCAGGATCGCCAGCAGCTGGAATTAGCTCCAGGCAGCGCTTCGAATCACTCGGTGGCGGTGGGTAGCCTAGAGGTTAAAGCGTTCGCTCGTCACGCTGACGACCCGGGTTCGAATCACTCGGAATCAGCCATTGCACTTATGCGTTTCCTTCTGTTGTATTGCACGCTCAGATACACTCTCTTTACAATTATACACCCGTGAAGATCCGGGTTAGAACTGGTCTTCAGCAACCCATGCTGCCGTTACAGGCGACTATAACAGGATCGGGTGGTCAGGCTGGCTGACTTGGCTGACACATGTCAGGGGCGGATACAGCTTTTTGAGAAAGGGGGGTGCACATTATTGAGAAAGGGGGTGCACACTTCATTTTCACGAGCGTTTCAATGGTCATGTAATAAACTTTCAGGACAATAAAGGGGGGTCGGTGCGCACCCCTGCAACCCCCCACCCCCTCTGGATCCACCTATGTAGTATCCTAATTGCGTACATGGATACTAAGGCTGTTGATCACTTGATTGTCTGATCCAGACTCTATTATTTACAGACCACAACTGACTGGAATATTGCCGAGTGCGGCGTTAAACAACAACCAAACTAAACTTTACATTTATGTTGTGGTGCAATGTAGATATTTTTACTATACTATAGATGTGCAGTATTGTTTAGATGCAATTTGCATCTAATGGATCAGTGATGGAGAGCTTTAATGACTCCTTATGCAAACATTGTAGTTCAATAATAACGTCAAACCGGTGCATAGTAATAAATGAGTTAGCCTCAGCCACTTCATCACTATCAGTTTCATCATCAGTGACAGACCAGAACAATTTGATTTAACTTGTTTGAGGGGCATTTAGAAGTTGGATCAGCAAGGAAGAATAACAATATATGGTTGAACAACTTCTTTCTTACAGTGAGAACGTCGTTTTATTGTCGATTTGTCTACGTCCATCCCTTGCTTGATAACGGTGTCAGAACCTACTCCGAAACGTCGCTCCTGACGTAATACAGAAGTTGTTCATCCATGTAATGTTATGCTTCCTTACAATTTGTGGGCTGCCATTTTTATTGACGTCTGTTCTGTGCAGTTACAGATGGATCTGCATCTTAAAAGTTAGAAATAGCATTCATGTCTTTTACGTGCTCTCTTTTCGCCATACAATTCCCAATTGTTTAACTGTATCAATCTAGTTCAGAGCTGGTCACACACAAACAATACGAATGCACGAACGCACGCACGAACATTTTATCTCCACCATAACACAATTTAATGCTCCTGGCGAAACACTGCACACGCGAATCAGTACACATATTTTATCTCCACCATAACACATTTTAACGCTCCTGGCGAAACACTGCACATGCGAATCAGTAACACATATTTTATCTCCATAACACAGATTAACGCTCTTGGCGAAATACTGCACATGCGAATCAGTAACACATATTTTATCTCCATAACACAGATTAACGCTCTTGGCGAAACACTGCACACACGAATCAGTACGCGCATCTTATCTCCACCATAATACAATTTAACGCTCTTGGCGAAACACTGCACACGCGAATCAGTACACATATTTTATTTCCACCATAACACAATTTAACGCTCTTGGCGAAACACTGCACACGCGAATCAGTACACATATTTTATTTCCACCATAACACAAGTTAACGCTCTTGGCGAAACACTGCACATGCGAATCAGTAACATATTTTATCTCCATAACACATTTTAACGCTCTTGGCGAAACACAGCACACGCGAATCAGTACACATATTTTATCTCCACCATAACACAGTTTAACGCTCTAGGCGAAACACTGCACACACGAACCAGTACACACATTTTAGCTCCACCATAACATGATTTAACGCTCTAGGCGAAACACTGCACACGCGAATCAGTACACACATTTTATCTCCACCATAACATAATTTAACGCTCAAGGCGAAACACTGCACACGCGAATCAGTACACATATTTTATCTCCACCATAACATAATTGACCGCTCTTGGCGAAACACTGCACACGCGAATCAGTACACACATTTTATCTCCACCATAACATAATTTAACGCTCAAGGCGAAACACTGCACACGCGAATCAGTACACATATTTTATCTCCACCATAACATAATTTAACGCTCAAGGCGAAACACTGCACACGCGAATCAGTACACACATTTTATCTCCACCATAACATAATTTAACGCTCAAGGCGAAACACTGCACACGCGAATCAGTACACACATTTTATCTCCACCATAACATAATTTAACGCTCAAGGCGAAACACTGCACACGCGAAATCAGTACACACATTTTATCTCCACCATAACACAATTTAACGCTCAAGGCGAAACACTGCACACGCGAATCAGTACACACATTTTATCTCCACCATAACATAATTTAACGCTCAAGGCGAAACACTGCACACGCGAATCAGTACACACATTTTATCTCCACCATAACATAATTTAACGCTCAAGGCGAAACACTGCACACGCGAATCATTACACACATTTTACCTCCACCATAGCATAATTTAACGCTCAAGGCGAAACACTGCACACGCGAATCAGTACACACATTTTATCTCCACCATAGCATAATTTAACGCTCAAGGCGAAACACTGCACACACGAATCAGTACACACATTTGATTTCCACCATAGCATAATTTAACGCTCAAGGCGAAACACTGCACACGCGAATCAGTACACACATTTTATCTCCACCATAATATAATTTAACGCTCAAGGCGAAACACTGCACACGCGAAATCAGTACACACATTTTATCTCCACCATAACATAATTTAACGTCTCAAGGCGAAACACTGCACACGCGAATCGGTACGCGCATCTTATCTCCACCATAACACAATTTAACGCTCAAGGCGAAACACTGCACACGCGAATCAGTACACACATTTTATCTCCACCATAACATAATTTAACGCTCAAGGCGAAACACTGCACACGCGAATCATTACACACATTTTATCTCCACCATAACATAATTTAACGCTCAAGGCGAAACACTGCACACGCGAATCAGTACTCACATTTCACCTCCACCATAGCATAATTTAACGCTCAAGGCGAAACACTGCACACGCGAATCAGTACATACATTTTATCTCCACCATAATATAATTTAACGCTCAAGGCGAAACACTGCACACGCGAAATCAGTACACACATTTTATCTCCACCATAACATAATTTAACGTTCAAGGCGAAACACTGCACACGCGAATCGGTACGCGCATCTTATCTCCACCATAACACAATTTAACGCTCAAGGCGAAACACTGCACACGCGAATCAGTACACACATTTTATCTCCACCATAACATAATTTAACGCTCAAGGCGAAACACTGCACACGCGAATCAGTACACACATTTTATCTCCACCATAACATAATTTAACGCTCAAGGCGAAACACTGCACACGCGAATCAGTACACACATTTTACCTCCACCATAGCATAATTTAACGCTCAAGGCGAAACACTGCACACGCGAATCAGTACACACATTTTATCTCCACCATAGCATAATTTAACGCTCAAGGCGAAACACTGCACACACGAATCAGTACACACATTTGATTTCCACCATAGCATAATTTAACGCTCAAGGCGAAACACTGCACACGCGAATCAGTACACATATTTTATCTCCACCATAGCATAATTTAACGCTCAAGGCGAAACACTGCACACATGCACGAATCGGTTTTGAGCACAGGATTACACCAAGTAACGAAACAATATACATGTACTCGGTGTATACTTATAAACAGATAATGGACTGTTGGCGGAGAGATGAATGAGATTTGTGTGAGTGATGAACGCTACCGTTACTGTCATGAAGTACACTGCTTAACATCACTGTGCACCATGACACTCCCACTCAGCTCAATAGCGTTAATACGTAATCAACGTGTTGTGCACGGACGCCGTGTATTAACTCCAAGTACAGTCATTAACTCCAGCGGCGTTTAAACAGGTTAACTTCTGAATGGTCACATTGTCAATGAGGAAAATCAACGTTACATGAGGTGAGGTGAAATGGGGTTAACATGACGTTCAAGTGCACTTACATAGCGACGTCTGCGACATAGTGCTTGTTGCTTCCCTAACGTTCGTTATCATTTGTGGACCCCGTTCCACAAAGCAATTGTAGCGCTACGACCGTCGTAATTCTATGTTAAAGTATGGGAGTTACGATCACCTAAGCGCTACGATCGCGTTGTGAAACGGTACCGCCGTTTTACAAAGCTATCGTAGGGCTACGACTGTCGTAAATCCCATACTTTAACATAGACTCACGACAGTCGTAGCGCAACGATCGCGTTGTGGTACCGTATCAAGGACCGCGTTCCTCAAAGCGATTATAGCGCTACGACAGTCTAACTGATATGCTTTAACATAGACTTATGACTGTCGTATCGCTACGATCGCGTCGTGGAACGCGTCCCCGGATCATAACTACCATACTTTAACATAGACTTACGACAGTCATAACACTACGATTGCTCCGTGAAACGGACCCCAGGGCCTAGATTTTCGAAGCTCTCTTAGCGCTAAGATAGTCGCAAGTTAATGTTAATGTATGGCACTTACGACTATCTTAGCGCTTAGAGAGATTCGAAAATCTAGTGTCCTGGGCCTGGATTTTCGAAGCTCTCTTAGCGCTAAGATAGTCGCAAGTTAATGTTAATGTATGGCACTTACGACTATCTTAGCGCTTAGAGAGCTTCGAAAATCTAGGCCCAGGGCTGGAGGTTTCCTCACACATTACGCAAGCAC